GTGCTTACACCAGTGAACAGAATGAGGTTATTGAAAGAAAAAATAGATATATATTAGAGATAGCTCGGTTATTAATGTTCACAATGAATCTACCAAAAAGTTATTGGGTACCTTATTAATGGAATACCTCTGCAGGTTCTTGATTTTGGAAGTCATCTGAAGGTTTTGTAAGGTACTAATTTCTATACCGTTTTCCCTAAAGTGTTTGATTGTATTTGTTTTGTCCATACTAGAAATGTGAGTAATCTAGAATCTAAAGTTTTCAAGTGTGTATTTGTTGGATATTCTCCTATTTAACTATAAATGAATGCACAAAAAATATTAAACATATTTTTCAGGCCCCGCAACTCACACCGACAGACTGTGGCTCCGATCGCACTTAACGTTTAACACCCCGTCTACAAAAAGACGGGTTCAACATGAGGACTTTTTAGGAGGTCACCCACCTTAGGACTAATCTCGCCCAAGCATGCTTGACTACAGAGTTCTGATGGGATCCTGTACATTTGTGTTTGTATGATTGCAACTGTCTCATTCCCCACTGCAAATACATATAATCCTTCTCTTTCCCTCCCCCCTCCCATCATTTATTTTGCTGTGCGGGCATACCGCATCTATGCTTCTAGTTCTAATATAGAGCGAAATGCCATGTCGCTTCGACTAACGCCCAGAAGAACGGAGGCTCGCTGCGCCTTTTTTTTCGTTGTTCTACTATGTAAGACTCTCGTAATGAAAGCCTTATCACGTGGTGAATTATAAATAAATGCACGTAAAATATTAGACAAAATGTTTCAACGTCGCTACTCATGTCGGCGGACTGTGGCTCTGATCGGGCATAACATTTAACATTATGTCCGCAAAAAGACGGGTGCAACGCGAGGACTTTCCAAGAGGTAACCCATCTTAGTACTGCTCTCGCCCAAGTACGCTGGTGCGTTAGTGCTACTATGATTGCACCCCTTCCATTCCTTATATAAGATGCTAGTAATGAGACTTTTATAACATGGTGGACTATAAATGAATGCATGAAAAATATTAAATAAAATACTCTGACGCCGAGACTCACGTTTACGAATGAACCAACGGACTGTGGTTTCTGTCGAGCGTAACGTTTAATTCCTTGTGTACAAAGAAACATGTGCAACACGAGGACTTTCTAAGAGATCACCCATCTTAGTACTACTCTCACCAAAGAAAACTTAACTACAGAGTTTTTATGGGATTAGGTGCATCAGTGCTAGTCTGATCGCACCCGTCCAAATCCGCGCTACAAATGCATGTGCCCCTTCTCCTTCGCTCCCCCCTTGCGTCATTTATTTCGTTGTACGTGCACACCTCACATCTGCTTCTAGTTCTAATATCAAGCAAAATACCCCAGCACCTCGACTCATGTCCATATTAACAGATCACCCACCGCACCTCTATTTTTATTGTTCTACTATGTAAGATACTTCTAATAACACTCTTATCATGTGATGGGCTTTAATTGAATGCACAAAAAATATTAAGCAAAATACCCTGGCGCCGTGACTCACATTTGTGAATGAACCGACGAACCGCTGATCTAGCCCCGCGTAACGTTTAGCGTCCCATCTGTAAAAAGATGGGTGCAACACGAGAACTTCCTAGGAAGTCACCCATCTAAAAACTACTCTCGCCCAAGCAAGCTTAACTGCAAAGTTCTGATGGGATCCAGTGAATTAGTGCTGGTACTATCGCACCTGTTCTAGTTTGCACCGGAAATACATATAACTCTTCTCCTTCCCTCCCACCTCCTGTCATTTGTTTTGCAATGCACGCACACCTCACCCCTTCTTCTAGTTCTAATATCAAACAAAATACTCCGGCGCCTCGACTCATGCCCATATGAATGGATCGCCCGCCGCACCTCTATTTTTGTTGTTCTACAATGTAAGATACTCATAATAACACTCTTATCACGTGATGAGCTTTAATTAGAAGCACAAAAAATATTAAGCATATGCCTTGGAGCCGTGACTCACGTTTGCGAATGAACCGACAGACCATCGCTCCGGTCCCGCATAACATTTAATGCCCTGTCTGTAAAAAGATGGTGCGACACGAGAACTTCCTAGGAAGTCACCCATCTTAGTACTACTCTCGCCCAAGCATGCTTAACTGCGGAGTTCTGATGGGATTTGGTGCATTAGTGCTGGTATGATCGCACCCGTTCCAGTTCGCGCCGCAGATACATATATCCCTTCTCCTTCCCTCCCCCCTCCCATTTTTTTGTTTCCCTGTGGATCGCCTGCCACACCTCTGTTTTTGTTATTCTACTATGTAAGATACTCGTAATAATATACTTATCACGTGATGAGTTTTAATTGAATGCACAAAAAATATTAAGCAAAATACCTTGACACCGAGCGTAATGTTTAACACCCCGTCTATAAAAAGAAGGGTACAACACGAGGACTTCCCAGGAAATCACCCATCCTAGTGCTACTCTCACCCAAAAATGCTTAACAGCAGAGTTTTGATAGGATTCGGTGAATTAGTGCTCGTATGATCGCACCTGTTCCATTTCTCACTGCCTACAAGTGTTATCATCTACCATTTAGAAAATACTTTATAATTATGAATGTTATTTTTAGAGAATCTAAACCATACTTCAGCTCCACCCCATCACCTTTTCAAGGGGAGAGTGAAACGGAAGGGGTGATGCCTAGTTTGGTAACCTTGATATTCATATTCAGGGAGAGAATTTTATGTTAGAAGATTCAGAAAAAAATGCTGGACAACTGGATAAAACAGACTTGAAGTGATATTCAATGAGAGATAAGGCAGGAAAAACCATCATGCAGTCTATAGGTCAAGAATTTTCTTCAATTATTGAAGATACTAGTGAGTTATTTTTGCCTTGTGAATTATCTGATAAACCTATTGCTCTTATAAAACGAATAAGAATTTGCACTAAACATTCTATGTTTAACTTTATTTCCTATGACTCTCTATCTCCCTCCTATAGAGTTTTTATCTTGTCTGTTTTCTCTGTGTCTATTTCACGTGATTGGAGAGAAGTTTTAGGAGATCCCAAATGGAAGGAAGCGATGATTGAAAAAATGAAAGTATTGACAAAAAAGAAACATGAAAGCTTGTTTCAACCCCACAAGAAAAGAAGATGGTTATAAGTGGGTGTTCACTGTAAAATATAAAACAGATGAATTGATTGAAAGATATAAAGTTAGACTAGTGGTTAAAGGGTTTAATTAGATCTATAGAATTAACTATGAGGAAATCTTTGCACCTGTCGCAAAATAAACACAATTAGAATATTACTATCCTGCGTTGCTAATTTTGAGTGGGACATGCACTAATTTAATGTAAAAAATGTTTTCCTCTATGGGGACTTAGAGGATGAGGTATATATGAAAATACCACATGGATTTGAAGATTATAGAACATAAGGGAAAGTTTGCAAATTAAAGAAGATCTTGTATGGACTGAAGCAGTCTTGAAAAGCATGGTTTGAAAAGTTCATAAGAGTTATGATTTCTTTCGGATATCAATAAAGTAATGTTGATCATACCCTATTCATAAAGTATTATGAAGGTATAATCACTCTTCTTATTATTTATGTTGATGATATTATGGTGACTGGAGATGATACAGAGGAGATGGCTCGATTAAAGGAATTTCTTGTTCGAGAATTTGAAATTAAGAATTTAGGAAAACTACAGTACTTCTTGAAAATTGAGGTTGACAGATCTAATAAAAGAATCTCATTTCTTAAAAAAACTATGTCCTATACTTGTTAGAAAAGACTGGTATGATGGGTTGCAAGCCAGTCGAATCTCCGATTGAAAATAATCACAAATTCCAACCAATTAGTGGTACATTAGTTAGAAGGCTCATTTATCTCTCATATACAGAGTAGATATAACATATGCAGTTAACCTAGTGAGTCAGTACATGCATGATCCTCGCAAGACTCATTTATATGCTGTCTTTCGAATGTTATGATATTTGAAATCTACACCAAGAAAAAGTTTATTCTTTTCCAGAAATTACTACATTAAAATAGAAGCATTTACAAATGATTATTGAGCTGGATTTGCTAATGATAGAAGGTCAATCGCCGGTTATTGCACAATTGTTGAAGACAAGTTGGTTACATGAGAAAGTAAGAAGCAGAGTATAGTTGCCTGTTGTTGGGCTGAACCAGAATATAGAGCAATAGCTCAAGGAGTGTGTGAATTATTATGAGAGAAAAAAATTAATGAAGGAATTAAAGTTGTTTAAAGAAGAAAGCTCATTATTGTTGTGTAACAATAAAACAACTCTTAGTATTGACCAAAATCTAGTTCAACATGAACGGACGAAACACATTAAAATTGACTGTCACTTTATAAAAGAAAAAGTGGTTGATGGCTATTTATATTTTTATTATGTGTCTTCTAGCAATTAGGTGACATACATCTTAACCAAAGGATTTTGCAACAAAATTCTTCAACACTTGATACACAAGTTGGGCATATGCAATATTTTTGCACCAACTTGAGGGGGAGTGGGGACACGAATATTTCGTTATCTAAATAACCGTGATATTTTAGTTATTGTAATTATTTAGAATCCCTATTATAAGGAAAATTTCTTTATTTGTTCTTATTAATTCTTGTATATATACATGAGTCCTTTGTAACATAAAATATATAATGAAAAATAAAGTAAATATTTTTCACCAAATTTCTACACTATACAACTACACAGAACAGGAAAACAGAAAACTACATAGTTAAACAAAACCATAATAACTCTGTTGATTCAGCCATTGTCATCGTGTTGTCTCATAATGTTTTCCTTTATCTCCTTTTTTTCAATTTTTTTTAATTTTTTTATTTTTATAGATCTCATTCTATTTTTTTCCAGTCTATTGGAATGTAACTTTTTGGTAGAACATGTGGGTATAATAATCTGGTGTGGGATTTACAATCTACTTAGCTGAAAGCAGCATTTTGATAATTCTCATTTTCTCTCAGGCCAGTTCAGTTTCCTTCCAGATGGGATGACGGGCAAAGATCTTTCTCGAAAGATTATGATACCCAAAGTCATCGTAGGCCTTCTGCTGTCGCATCATTTGTTGTATCTCGCAATTCAGGAACTACTGATACAACTAAAGTTGCTCGGTTCCAAGATCTGAAAAGGACCAGGTCACCTCCTTCATTGTCTATAGATGAAGTTGTTATAAGAAACCCCAATCAAACTGTTCTCCAGAGGTAAGTTCTTTGCATGTAGTTCTAACATGTGATAGTTACTATATTGGTAATGATTTAAATGCTGATATGTTTTCTTCAAAGAAAAAGATAAGTAATTTAGAACTGGCTCCAAGGGGGTGCCACCTCCGTTCAGAAGGATTACATCTTTCCAGAAGGACAGAAAATGTCTACAATGGTTCCACGATCCTTCCAACAAAGGAAAGATTGACCTCTAAACAAAATATTCAAGGTCCGGAACCAATGATATCTAGGACTACCAAACCAAGATATAATTTCTTCTAACACTCTGTTTGAATTTTCTTTTTAGGTAGATTTAAATATTGTAGGAATTAGAATACGCCATTAGCTGTAATTATGCCTACATAAAAGCTAATGGCTACCGACAGGTGTGCAGATAATGATGAATTGAAATCTATTTAGGGTTTTATTTCACATTATCTCTCTCGATACTTGGTATTCTTATTACTATTCTATATAAGCTATCTTGTTTAGTCTATCTTCCCTATATTTGTTCCCTGATGTATATTCTCTGCCTTATCTTTATTATTTTGTTTTTCAATTAAATTTTCTCTATTTCTAAACTATAGGCAGGAGAAGTTACTTTAGTTGCTATTCACCTTGCATGACATGCCCTTTTATATAATTACATTTCTTTGGACCACTGGTCAAATGTCATTCTACAGTCACTTGTATTGGAGGGTTGGCAGAGGGATTTGACTTAGGCGCAATTACTTATATTTTATAGTTGCTATATTCCTGTTCATATCCGAAAAACATCTGTTCAGTAAGCAGAATTTTCTTTTGCTGATTATTGAAAACATTTATCTATTGTGTGCTCGGGTTAGATCTTATTCTTGGAAAGTCCTATCTGTTGCATGAATAAGTCATTATTTATTTGAGGTCAAACTAGTTTCTGATTGTTTGACAAGAGGTTGATATGGAATATTGTATTGATATTTTATTTAGTCTCTCTAACACTGAATTTGTTTTGTAGTGGCAATTCAGGTTTCAAAAATGATGGTACCTTTGTTGCTTCAGCTGCAAGATCAGTTGCATTGACTTTTAAAGACAGTAGTCCCATTCAGGATTCTCATCTGCCATTTAGTGAAGCCCGTAGGCAAGCTTTATGTTAAATTTTGCATTATTTGTTCAATCTCTCTCCCCCCTCCCACAACATGCACACAGGTGCTTGTTTGTCTGTGTGCACGGGCATGACCTTCGTTTCTGTTTGGCATTGTTTCCTCTTGTGTGGTTGTATGCGGCATCATGATGAATTTTTCACAATTTCTGATATTTTAAGGAAGCCTCTTATGTTTCTTCCATTGCAGACAGTAGTACAATCCAGTCATTCTAGTTTATGTTGCATGACCACCCATGCTTCAAGTTTGAGGCTTGGATGCAAAAAACGGTGGCCTCATGTGCTTCTAAGCTTCATTTTATACTTAAAGTTCATGCATGTTCCTGCCTTCTCTCATCTCTACTTCAATTATTTGGTTTTATTTAGATGTAGCAATTCATGGCTATTTTTTTTAACAGGAAAAATTCCTGGCAATTCTCATGACATGTATCTTTTGATCTTTTCTTGAATTGCTTATTTTACAGGTCACCTATATATTTTGAACAGAATAATCCTCCCAAGTTTCCCATTGGTTGTCCCAACTTGTCGACTCAGCAAAACATGTTCTCAGTTCCATCTTATACTGATTCTAATACTTCTGGAAGAAGCTTACGGCATGAAGTAGTTGATTTACAAGCCCCAAAAAGGACAAGGTCCCCACCTGTACTATCAACCAATGAAGTTTTCTTGGAAAATGAGAAGTTCGCTCAAAAGAACTCAAAAAGGTAAATTGTACCACATAAATGGAGTGTAACGTTTATTATCCCCTTCGTCCTTTTTTCTTCTTAGGATAACTGTCCAACGACCATTGCATTTATTAAAAGTGTATGAGTGTGAAACTTAAACTCATAAAAAATATGATATGTATTATTTGAGGGTATGATGCTTTCTTTGAAGTTATATAGTTGTCAGGATCGAAATTCCTGCCTGACCTGCAGAAAATGGAGAAGAATCTCCTCTAAGAGTTTTCTAATAATAAAAGTCTGTTACACCTTAGCTCCCACTTTCCAAACTTCACTTTGAATTCCTTAACTATGAAGGACGTTATGGTAACACTATTGCTTTAAGAATGATTGGATATTATGTTCTGTGCTCTCTAGAAATCTTCTAGTTAATCTTTGTCTCAATGAGACCTTGATATACTTCACATGGCAGGCCTTCAATATCTCCTCCCAGGTTCAATACTAAGTCAAATGATACTTTGACAAACTCTGGTTCCCAAATCCCCTTGAGGTCCTTGCCTTCAGCAAGTATAGTTTTTGCGACAACTCGGGTTGATAATGGTTCAGTTCCAAAACGGACAAGATCTCCTCCTCTACTATCTGACGAGGAAGGTTTTCAGAGAAACTCTGCTTCCTCTCAAGATGATACTGAACGGTGAATTGTTAAATCAATTTTTTTTGTAAACTATACTGCTTTTAATTTGTTGAATTCCTGTTCATTTTGTATCTAACCTTTCCTCATACATTCACAGAGAAATGCAAGCCAAGGCAAAGCGATTGGTCCGCTTCAAGGGAGAATTAAGTGAAACTGCAGCAACCACTCTCACTGATACCATAAACAGAAAGGTTTCTGCAAAAGGACTTGAACAATCAATAATAGGGAGGAACAAATTTGCTGGGGAACATTCTATGGATTCAGCAAAGGATATTGGCAATGACAATGCATTATCTGATTATGAAGGCTGTGAAAAATCCAGTGTTATAATTGGCTTATGTCCAGATATGTGTCCTGGTACGTTTCTTGGCTTCTGAATGATGCTATAGAATGATACAATAGAATACGAGTGTAATGAATATCGAGTTCCTTGGCAA